TACTTTTGAACATGATATTCATTCCAGCACTGTTAATAGATCGCTGTTTGCACCTTCATGCACATATGAACACCAATGAATTTGTTGCGTATTACGAGAATTGTACCTTTTTAACAGATTTGTTATTCGGCGTGAAAAATAATTTTTTTTGGCTGGAAAAAGTTAGGATGAATGGAAGTCGAATATGCCTTGGAACTTGAATTAGTGCCTCAATAATCAACGTAATCACAATTATTTCATTTTACTAAATTTCATCTTGATTCTATGTTAATTATTTCCAATAAGCACTTAGATGAAAGTGGTATTTGAATAATTGACAGTATCAAGTATTCAATCAAGCACCAAGGAACTGGATAATATCCGAATACATTAAATTAAAAGGGTAGCATAATCATCAGAGGATATCCGAGTTATTTCTTTTAGACAAAGAAATGCTTATGGCTGCTGAGTAACCTCGACCATTTATTTATTTCAAATGGCGGGGTTTATGATACTTATAATTAGCCCTTAGCTGACTTCGGGCTCCACAGAGGGGAAGAACATCAAAGTGAGAAAAAGTGGAGAGGGGGAACAGAAGAGTGATTCAAAGATGTAAAAGAGACAGACAGGCACAAAAGTAAAGAAAAGGTAAGATGAGTGTTGTAGAAGAGGTCCAATATGACATACTATGGGGAGATGGTAGTTTGAAGTCAGAAGTCAGCTGCCGGTTTATAGACTTCTTTCCCGTATGAGTATACGTTGCCCAGGGTGCACCACATGGAGGTAAGTCCTTTCCCGTATGAGTATACGTTGCCCAGGGTGCACTACGTGGAGGTAAGTCTATCCCACACCCCACCTCGACCATTGAAAGGGCGAATACCAACAAAATGATCGATGAGACAAATTTATTAAAATTTCCATGTCTCATATTGATAGGTTTGCTTTTAAAAGTCACTTCTACACCACAAACTGCAACGATCATTCGTCAACCGTAATTCTACAGATTCCAATAGAATACGTAAATAAAAACACAGAAACCGCTAAAAATTCCCATTAACAATATTTGCACTTATATTGTGTTTTCTTCACCTTTACATTGAAAATGTCTGTTGCCTGTGAAATTATGATTTTCAACACTGACAGAATTAACCTGTAAATAGAACAAAGTTCTATAGCAACTGACAATCATTGACAATCGCCAATTTAAATCAATTTTACTGTGAATATTCTAAGTTTGCTAGCGAGCAGTGATTTATATGTTTCTCTAGCTTTGAAAGTTCCCCCAAAACGAATGCTATCAATCAAGTCTACATCAGATCTTCTAATTCTACGATCGGACATTTTTGAGGCCAGCTGCTCAGGTTTGATTCTTTCCCCACGCCGTAAATCCCTCGATCTGCCAACAATTAAATTAGGAAGTCGATTAAAAAGCATTGAGGATCTCCAGCGACGAATACCTTCAACACCAAGTATGGTCAATCTTAGCCACCTTACTCTCTCCGGCGACATTTATTTTGAAAGAAATGTCATTCTCAAAGTGAGTTTCTCAACGTCACTTCTATATAAATAATGTAAATAAATGGTATTTTTTATGAGGGCTTCTTCCTCATCAGGGAAGCGTAAAAATATTGGCAAAGAATAACGAGACGATCGTAATTCCAGAAGGAACTGTTCTTGAAAACCAAGTGGTGATTGGCAACTTTCAGAACCATAGACGTAGTGTTTTTGTTTAATCTCTTTACTTTGCTTTGTGTAGCTTTTATTGGAAAATATAGTTTTACTTCGAATAAATTTTAATGATTTGCATTAAGCGATTTATAATTTATATATTTTAAGATTATTTTGGGTTAGAATTATTGTTATAACATCGGTGTGTACTCGGTCGATTTAGCCGTGCTGAAATTGAAATGATGTTCTTTTCCTTATCGACTGATGGCTTGCTAAATACTTTACAAAGCGGTTGCAAAGCGGCTATTTCTCCAAAAATAGAGACTGTAATGTGAAATTTTAATCACATTTACTATTAGCGTTTACCTGGGGTGTGCCATAGACTTACCTCCACTGGTGCACCCTGGGCAACGTATACTCACATGGAAAAAAGTCTTTAAACCGGCAGTTGACTTCTGACTTCAAACTACCATGGCCGACTGCATGTCATACTCGACTACTTCCACAATACTCACCTCACCTTATTTTCGACCTTTTCTGCCTTCATCTTCGAAACACGCTTCTGTCCCCCCCCCCCCTCCCGACTTTTTTCACTTTGATGTTCCTTACCCTCAGTGAAGCCTGAAGTCAACTAAAGGGCTAATGATAACCATCAAAACGCCTGCCACTTGATATAAATAAATTATTAGCGTTTCCCTAAATTTCTTTAAAATTTTTCCCTCAATGTAAGTCTTTACTGGAGAGATTTTAATTTCTCAAATTATTACAATCAGAGTGACGGCAAAAGTTACGAATCTTATGCATTCCATGGGACCTTTAAATCCCAAATTCAGTCCGATTCGGCCTGTTTACAAGTCGTATGTGACCAAGCAGAAGTCACTCCTGAGTTTTGTACTTTTACCTTCTCCATAATGTCTTCGTTAGTGCATCTACATTCACTTGGTCATTTGCAGTCCAAAGTGATCACCAATGGTGAATGATAAATACAAGCAGCCCAAAAGTGACTGTATAAAATGCAGATGAGACAGTATCACGGTTCTGTATGTTCCAAAACTGGACTTCTCCGTGGAATAGTCACCTAACTGGTTTGAGGCTATACTTATTAAGCCTGTCACAACCGGCTCTGTTATTAAATCTTTCTTCAGTTATTTGTCAGTCAGCTGGCCCGAAATATTATCCATCTGTTTCTTACTCCGCTTGAGGACTTTTGTCGCAATCTTTCTATCTCCATTATATATCCTTCGCTTAATCTTGAATAGGCAGTGGAAAACGTCACTTGACGAAGACTCGTGTTGGTGTCAAAATCTCGTTAAGCCATCCCAGAAATATCCTTTCGTGGTTCACAACTTTAAATTTTAAAATGACGGCATTCCTCTTTTGAAACATTAAAATTTAAAGACTAAGTCCGATCATTAGCTAAACGGTTATTCCACGAACTTCAGAAAAATTCGGAGAAGATCTTAGTTTAATCCAATGGTTAAAATTATGAATAAAAACCCCCAACCCGGGTGATGGAGACGATAAAAGTGAAAAATTATAATAAAAATTACTTTTGTAAGTTTGTGGCAATAATTTCGAATTTTAGCACCTATGTCAAAATATCAGCGTGGAATTAACTTTAAAATCTCGCTTATCAAAAGATAAATGAGATACAAATATGATAACTTGATTACGCATATCGTTACTAGAAAGTGGAATGCTAACTGCTGATTAATGACCGTCGAAATGGAATGTGAGGTTCCAAAAATAAAGATCTTTATTTATTACCTTTGGTTTTATGAACACTCATGAAAATTTATATGCCGAGTTAATTAAACGCCAGCCTCAGAAAAAATACCTGATAATACCGATATTTCTAAAAGAACCTATGCAATTATGCTAAGCCCCCAACACCAGTTACGTTTTCCACACGATGCTGGAAGTAAGTTATATTGATAGACTGAATTGGCTAAATGTGACGGAATTATTCGGTACACCAAATACTTAATGTCTAGTAATGGTATGTAAAATATCGTATCAAAAATGTTATCTATGGCTAAATACATACGGAAAGAACTGCAAATTTAATACGATTGCCATATAAATGAAAAATACTTTTTCAAAATGTCAAAATTTTTTGTTTTTGCACTAATAATAAATTGAGTGTATGATATTCTTACGGAATTGTACAGAACGATAATAAATTTAAATGTAATAAATAGTTTCAAAAGCAACGATAATGCAGTTTAGGCCTACAAAGTATGTTGTAATTAAAATAATTTTGTCATAGTAATAATATTAATTACGTTTCAAATGTTTCATTAGATCTAGTGTTTAAATGCCTTGAATAAATTTTGCAGTGTTTAAAATCTCCTGGTAAAAATGACGAAGGATTTATTAGGAGCTCTTAAAGCAGTAAGTTTTGTCTTATTTCAATTCTTTATGAACCTGCATTATTTAATCTTTCTATTTTTTATATATGACACGGACAAGCTCCGAATTTTTGTATGCATATTGAGTTATTCCGTATTTATTTTCACAAATGAGGTCTTGCTCATGTTGTATTTGATGCAGAGTTTGTGCTGGTAATCGCTTTTCTTTAAATGTTTTATCTTTTCTTTCCAACTCCTATTTAACGATTATATTTTGATTCTTTTTGATTGCCTTTTTACTGCGCTTGATATATCCCTTTTTATTATTTGTTAGTGGCAGTGGTCTTTAGCTATTTTCGATCAAATGAAGAAATTGCCTAAAACATTTAAGAATTTTGTGCTCATGCTTTCTTAATCTCGCTCTATGTTTTACTTTTATGGCAAAAAGCATTTTCCGCTTTGTGGGAAATTTTCTATCGGTTGTTGCCAATTTTTTTAGTTAGATGTTTTTACTATGATATTTTGTGAGTTGCAAGTTAGACGCATTCAAAGTTAATTTTTGAAGGCTTTCTTATTGTTATGAACCTTTGGTTCTAACCACTGGTTTATAAGTGCGTATTCTTAGTATACTCTCTTGGGAATGCTTGTTTTCATCGGACTAATTGATACGTTAGATATTTAAATGATCTCATTTGAACTCACCACGTGATTTAATGTTCTTTGAAGTTGCGCATATCCAATGTATTTTATGCCAATTTTATTGTTTCCATGTCTGTTTAGTCTTCGGGCATCTGTCAATAATTGCCTTGTTAGCTGCTCTTAGCTTCATTTAGTTTTGCCAATTTCAACTTTTGACTGTCGTATTGCTAAGAGTGTTTGTTTTTTCAAGATAAAAGGGAAAGTTTAGAGGAATTAAGTCCCACTCTTTTATTTAGTCCTTTTTTATATTGTTAAATTAAAAACGTCTTTGTATTTCCCACTCAAACGCTCTTGAAATTTGTTTCTTTTCCAATTTTTTAACCATTTGTATTATAACGTGTTGAAAGTCGGCTATAGGTGAGGGTATTGAGTTCATAGAAATTGAGGGCCACTATCTGAGCAGATGGTAACAATGAGTGGAGGTGTTACTTCTATTTATTGATTGCTATTGAGCCAATCGGGTTGGATATCCTTAAAAAATTTTGCCATTAATAATTGCTATGGTAAACAGGAGAGATTGGAAGGAAGTATCTAAACATGCGATGGAAGTGAAGATACTATCATTCATTTTTTGGCAATAGCTACTTCAATTTCTCTGCTCCTTTAATTGACTGATGACTCATTGAAGTATCTGAGTCCCCCCCCCCCCCCCCCCCACCTTCCTTATCATTTATACATCACAGGTTATAGATCTATGTCCATGAATATAATTCTAGGAACTGGAAAAAATAATCCATTGCAAGGTTATCAATTAAATCATCTCTAAGCTGTCTACGATCCACTCAAAATTTCTGAAAACCAATTTGCACAGGCGATCTTTACACTATAATCCATTTTTATAATGTGAATCTGAGTAAATCTAGACGTTCAGTACTTTAAAACTGACCAGTGCAAAAACACTTCACGCTACTTTCTCCTCTTTACTCAATTACCGCAAATTGTGCTAATTGCCATGTCTCCTTTCCTCCTTTCTCCAGGCGCAGTCAGAAGATGAGGGTGGAATGCCTGAGGCTCCTGTCCCTCTGGATGGTTCGCAGTACATGAATGAGTTCTTCGCGCAGGTGGAGGAGATTCGCAAATTCATTGAACGCATCCAAGGTCTTGTGGAGGATGTGAAAAACAAGCACGGTGATATTCTCTCCTCGCCCAATCAAGATGAAAGTGAGTTATTGCAGTAATTCCTTCTATTGTTTGTTTTATTTCTTTTTTTTTGCGCTACGTTTATTGGTGTGTAGGTTTCAATTATTGTTGCTCGTCTCAGTAATACTTTGCGTGTGAAAACAGGCCTAGTAATTTTCCTCACTCTTATTTCTCATATCTGTCTGATTTCTTAACTGAGATCGGTGTCTTTTATTACAAATTTTTCAATGCTGTTATTTATTATTTTTTTTTCAAATACTCATTTCATTTTATTGATCGCACGAATTTCGATATATGATCACATGCAGTAAGTGGAATAGCGATTACACTGGCATATACCGAAGTTAATGAACCCAAGGTTGGTATTATAATTCGTTTTCTTTAAATACGACCTAAAAATATATGGAATTGGAATTATTTTCCATAGATTTAATTTAAAGGGGAAACCAATATATAATGTTTTTGCTTTGGGTCCACCTTGAACTCAGCTGGCCTAATTGTTTAATCGCCTCCTTTTTGTTACGTTATAACTGTAATTTGCGGAATACCGGTTAAGCATAATTGGCCTTAATCCAACGGCCAAAGTTCAAATGTGAAGCTTAAGAGCTGAGCCTTCATGATTAAAGGTGCCGTTTAATGAGCACCGATCATCACAAACAAGCAATCATGGTCTTCCAAGGAATGAATCGTGAAACTTAAAATTTTTTTTTAAAGTGAACTTCCCATTGGGTGAATATTGTCCTGCCCGATTGCTGTTAGACTCTTCGTTACCTTGGCTATGCTCCTAGCATCCTTTCTATCTCCTCCTCTTTACTTGTTGCCATTCGATGTCTGTAAATGTTTGTACTTGTATTAGAAATAATAGTACTTGCTCTTACAGAGAAGTGTGTTGTGAGTTATGACTGTTGAATGTATGTCCTTAAAGCCATTCTTGAAGAAGTGTGAAGGAAAAACGGCCGGACCTTGTTCTTCTAGGCTGCTGGTTGAATAACGCTCTAAGTGTCGATTTTCATTAAAGAAGGTTTAATTTTACTTGCATTCTTGTAATAGCCCATTTCACAAACAGTGTCTAATTAAATCACTTCATCTGAACTCGCGATGCTTCTTCGTTTCCACCTTTCTTTATTACCACTTTACTTGTTTATTTGGGACAAATTATAAGGGGGGGGGTGTGTGTGTGTGCCTTGGAGGTAATATTTTGCTGGACTTTAAAAAGGCGTGTCTACTTGGTCAATAATCACAAGTAGAGAAATGGCACTTATGCACGTTCCCTATGCAAGGCGATTATGATGACACTTGGTGTGCAATCGAGAGTATTTGCCCTTAGATGAGTGGTTCTAATGTTTTTTTTTGTACCTTTTTTTCCAATTCCGCTCCCTCTTCCTCCGCGGTTAACAGTCGTTTTTGTATAAATCGAATTATAAGTTGTTTCGCTTCTCAACGTGGGAACTCCAAAGGTGTATTGCACTTAACTCATAAAGCCGTTGGTTTTTTTCGTGATGATTAGGAAGGTATTAAGCAAATACTTGAAAATCTCACAGAATTTGGTTTTATTCTGTTTTTTTTTCTGCAATATATATATGAGCTAAACAGAGGGGTGAATCTTGAGAATTTCAAGAAATGACTTGTGTCAGTCGAGTACGGGTTGTCAATAAAGCCAATTATTGATCGCCATGGCAACAATAAGGATGTAATGCGGCACACGATTAGCTTCGTCTACTACTAACTGAATTATCGTAAATGTTGCCATGATAAATTCCCCCCAAAAGCCCCTATCATATCAGCCCTTACCTACTCCAAAAGTTAGAAGACGGGAGGGGGGGGGGGGCTGAATACGTTACGCTAGATTAATATCGAGGTCCTCTCTTCGGTGGTCAGAGCGATGAAGGTAAAAGGGTGGAACGTGGAAGGAGGATAATCTGCATTTTCTTATATACGAATAGAACCATTGGAAGAATGGAAAGAGTGAATTTGACTTTATACTGGGTTAATTATCAGTCTTGTTTCTTTGCACCAAGGGGGGGGGAGTAACTAAGAATGGACTACTTTCAAGGCTCTTTCCTCTGGAGTCTTAAGATAAATTTTCTGCTTACACATTGCCATAATTTCTCTGCTGCCCACCTGAGCATACAATTGAGAATCCTCCTTTTCTTTTCAGAAACGAAAGCCCAGTTGGAGGAGGCAATGGCAGAGATCAAAATGTTGGCTCACAAGGTCCGCGCTAAGCTAAAACGTAAGTCATCGATTTGTTTACATAATGTCTTATTCCCTTATGCTAGAAATGGAGATGAACATTGAGTATGACGAGAACGCGGACAAGTCCTCAGCAGATTTAAGAATCCGCAAAACCCAGGTTAGTTAATATTATTATTATAGTTAAGTGATATTTCGTGTTGGAGAGTTGGCATAATTAAAGTCTCATCTTAGAGAATTAAGTCACTGCCTATGGAAATTTGAGAGCCATTATTACCTAGTTACAATATGTTGAATTTGTAAGGAGAATGCTTATATTGTTTAATTCCAAGGCAAAGTGGATCCAAAGTTGTATCATATATCCATTTCAATTTAAAAATTAGGGAGGAAAGAAATACGAATTGCAACATTTGGAGAATTTGCGGTGGTCGCGGCTTTATTCACAAAGTTTTAATGGGTTAAGCATTTCAGAGTTTTCCTTTCAGTTACACAGTCGTCTGTTGAAATGGATTCTCAAGACGGTAGTCTTGTATTTATCTTCGTCTTCATCATCTGGGGGGGGGGGGGGGGGGGGGGAGAGGTGATTGTACCACTTATCTCAGGATTATTATTATTATTATTGATCTTTTTGCTAGACAATCAGTTTGTTCAGCTTGCAGATTCCTGAATACTCTGTCGCTTGTTGCACCTTTCCATCCTTGTTTACTTCAAAGAGAAACAAGCAGTTCCTGCCGTATTTCTCTCCATCTATTCTCTACTACCTAACTGGAATATTAGAGTTCGGAAGAGGAAGATGAATGTGGAGGAGGTTTTAAATATAAGTGTTGGGGGCGATTGCTATGGCAACACAAGAAACATTTATTGTCTCCTTTATTGTTTGCTCCTTTTCTCTCACCGTCCCTTGTTTACTCGATTTGAGGGCTTCGCACCACTTTTTTTTAATAAATGCACTTTACCTGGGAAAAGGGGATGATTTATTTCCCCTAGATAGGGAGCTTGAAGCTTCGGTTGCCTGATTTATAAATAATAGGATTAGATTTCATTAGTGGTGGGGGTGGCGGGTTGTTACTTAATGAGTCAATAATGTGTGTGGGGGTTCCTCACCTATTCTGTTGATCAAAGTAAGAGATCTTTTTCATCATTGGCAGAGAAATTGAAATTTCTTGTTCAAAGAAGCCTTTATCCTACTTCTTTTAGAATGCTGCTCATAACTATCCTTTAGAACTTTTCTTTTTCATTATTGTCCTCAAGGCGTGTAAAGGTATTGATTAATTATTACCTAGGTACTTTAAATTGCCTCTTTAGTTTACTTTTCAATTTGGACACGGGCTGTATTGCTTTTACTGTATTGCTCTTCCAAAGTCAAGGGTTCCTTTACACAGCTCTAGTTTTAATTATGGTCTCTGTATTTAAACAAAGCTTCTTTTTTCTATTAGATGCTTGTGAGCGCTTTGCTTATTGCTTAAGCCTCCAGATCAATGGGGGGGGGGCGAAGTTTAGGCGATATAGTTTTGCATTCATTTGCGATCGAAAGTTGGTTGGCTGCATAAGGAAGCATGCATCTAATTTCGTTAAATGTCGAATGTTGGAGGGGGGT